CTGGGCTGTGCTGCCCAGGCAGGAACTCTGCTTCTTTCTTTCTTTCTCTCTCTTAAACAAAAAGTATTTCCACTGAAAATAAAGAGAAAAAAGTCTTTTTGCAACATACAGAAGCAGTGAAATAGGACACTTTGGTTTCATATGAAACAGGCAACTTGAAAATAGTCTGAATTTTAACAACCTACATTAGGAAAGCTATAAAATATAGGGTGGCAATTAAGTAAATTGTTACCTTCTGAAAAAGAAAAACTTCTTATTTGATTTTAGAATTGCCAGGCTTCTATCCTGCAAGTCTCAAGAGAGCCAAACCCATCCTCTTCCAGATTTATTATTATTATAGTTACAGAGAACCTAACATGTGTAATGGAAAATTATGGAGACAAAGTCCCTGGTTGTACAGAAAATGACAATGCAGCCTATTATTTTCAGGATAAATCAGCTCTCAATCTAATTACTATGTTCTTGTAAATATTCTATAGATTACTAAATAATAGGGCTTCCTATCATGGTCTGGCTCTTGCAAATGACCCTGTAAAGAAAAAACAGAGGCCCATTGATTCCCAGCATGGAGTCCATGAGTCCACTCCGCCAGTCTCTTTGCAAGATCAACACCACAGAGAGACCCACAATTGCTTAATTATATTCCCCCCCATACATCAAATATGAAAACAGAAGGGATATGCAAAATCCACTTGATTATTATAACTGTTGCTCTTCCTTTACTTTGTGTTTTGCTTCCCCTCCTTTTCCATTTTAGCCCATAAATCTGATCAGTTTCCTTAGGCTTACAATCAGCTCTGCCCTCATGTTCTGTGCTGCTGCTCTGGAGCTTTGAGATACCTATACTTGCTAAAAAACAACTTGAGCTTAAGAAAAAACAGCAGTTCTAGCTGTGTTGATTTGTCTAAACCCAGTGTCATATCAAAACTCACATTCCCAGTTACATCCAAGTTGAAGTGTCCCTTCTTCAGCAGAAAATCTCTTTGTAGCAATGGTAGTCTCTTTCCACATGCCATTTTAACCTAAGCACAGCTTTGACTCAAAATGATCCTGAAGGATAATGGTTATGTAAAAACCCGCAAAATTGTGTTAATAATAAATAAGCCAAAAGTCATATAAAGCAAAAGCCAAACTCTGGATACAAGAGACAGAAATCACATTTTTTCCATAAATATCATTTTAGTGCAAAAGCCTCCATTCGTAGGCATGCCAGTCTGAAAAATAACCCGAGAGTTGTGATTAAACACACGGCATATTTTCATGTGAGGTTATGGACAATGTGTTTTGACACAGCTCTGGTGGAGAAGCACCATCTCTGCTCTGTGAGAGACTCAGCATAAACTATCTGTGCTGCTCCTCTCACTGACAGCACTGCTCAGTGAAGGGGACAGAAAAGAGTTAAAACCTGCTCTCTGCAGAAGCCTTCATCGCTTGAGTGGGGTTGAGGCTTTTTGCTTCCTCTTGCTTAGGGGTCAGTTGAAGTCACAATACTTGATTCATAGCACAGTGTGGATCTGAAAAACTGAGGTCAGACAGGTTGAATTTCCCATTGTTTGCACAACCTAGGATGGTAGCCCAACTCACATCAGCCAACATCCTGCAAGCAGAATGCCAGATGATCTCTGTGCCTGGGGCACAGTGATAATGTCTAGTGGTCTAGTGGATGGTGTCCCTGCCCATGGCAGGGGGTTGGAACTGGAAGAGCTATAAGTTCCCTTCCAACCTTCAAGTGTGATGATCTCACTTGAGAATTGCCCAACTTCCATTTTCTCATTCAGTTCCTCAGATCAAAACTAATTCTTCCACAGAGCCATGAAAATATTTACTTTCCTGATGATAAGCAAGGACTCACCCATCTACTACTCAGGTTAAAGTCAACCCAAAACCAGACACCTCAATATGTCTCAAACCACTAAAAACCAGTAGAGCACACACCAAAATGGACCTGCATTCCCTTAAAGGGCTGGCAGGAAATCTTGCCATTTATTGGTCATATGGTATCATAATTGAAATGATGCTTTTCAAATACATAGAATTCGATTTCTCCCTGCACAACAAGTGTCCAGCCTAAAAGCCTGATTCCACAGCTCCTTAAAGAGGTGACATACACCAATAAATGTTACCTAACACTGATGTTCCATTATCAGATCCTAAATTATATATCCTGGAGGTCATAGACTACAATAATGGGTTATGATTAAGGTGATTATATCATATATTCATTCTGATAATTTGGGGTTTTTGTCAGTCTTGCTATATTAAACTGAAGATGCAGTGTCCAAGCAAAAGAAAAAGGAACATCAAAAGGCATCATAGATGTAAAGCTGAGCCTACCTCATCTGTTTCCATTTTCGTTCTGCACATTTGGAACAGAACAGCTGCAGGATAAGCTGGTTTGGCAAATTTCTGATTCTGAGAGCTACTATTTGGTACTAGGCATCTGAGCTATCCTTAAAAACAAACATGGAAGAAGAATTTGGGAGATGCAAACTGAAATATCCAGATAAGGCTGAATACTTATGGATTAACTATCTAGTTGGCCCAGTGTCTGAGGTGCAAACACTGCCAAGCATATAGGCACCTGACTCTCTGTGAAAACAAAGGAGACTGCTCCTTTAAAGATCTGGGCTTTGATGCCTTTAAGGGAAAGAACTTACTGCACAGAAAGTTTCTGCAGTTCCTCAAAACTGTCGAAATTTTGGATTCATTTAATCTCTGAAATTTACCCTAGAACCAACTTTGTTGGCATTTTTCAATACAGGTCCTTTAGTTTGCCTGATACAGTGAAGCAGCTCAGCTATCGCCAATGCAATGTTATAATGTAACTCTTTTATTACATCAGAAAATAGGCAGTAGACAGATGTAATCATAAAAAGATTGAACATGCTCATTTCCTGAAGTTTATTCCCTTTTTGTAACAAATATTTACTGTCAAATGTTTATTACTTTTACATTTGGATTTTTTTAATACTTTATTGAATTAAAAATACCACATTACCATTGGCTAAAAGAGGAGACAGCTCTATTTGCCAATAATTTCTACAGCTAATGCCAGTGACTAGTGCCAATTTTTTTCTGGTTCATATTTTTGTAGACAGCTTTGAGACTTACGATACAATCATTCTGCAGATGGGGCATGAGAAACACAAAGGTGAAAAGAACACAAACCTCAAAGGCTTAAAAACTAAAGCTGATCATTTCCTCTAAAGAATTTCCTTCCATTGCCTTCAAAGGACAAGTCAGAGGAGCACAACAGGATGCAAATATTTACTCAAATGAAGATCCAAAGCTTCCCAACGTTAAAACTTACAAATATCTGTAACAGAAAAGTACTTCTAAATAAGGGATTGCAAACTGGGTTTAATTTGCTGAAGTTCTACCAGGAGCTTCATTAGAAAGCACTAAAGTCCTCACATAATATGCTTTTCTCTGGAAGACACCAAAGGAGGGATTGAGGAAAAGATGTCAAATAAGAAAAGACTGGTGAAGAATCTTGGGAGACACAAACACCTGCTGTCTGTATCTCACAGAGAACAGTGCTTGTTGGCTTGTTAATCTGGCAAGCAACTTGTCCCTGAAGCAATTCCAGACTGGACATGCAGTTTCTGCATGAGAAATGCTGACCACCTACCAGTAGGCTGACATTCTCATTAGGCACTGGGCTATGCAGAAACAGAATGTTTTTTATCACACCAATGGAAATAGCAAATACCTCTTCCAACAGCAGGCAAGCTGGGTGACACCCACACGTGGAAGAACTTGAATCATCCCGGGTAGACCTGGGGTTTTCTTTACAGACCTATATAATACTTTGCTTCCAGTACAGTAGTCCTGGTGGTCTGCATTTTCTTGATGGAGCTGGAAAATACGACCTACCCAGATTCTTTTCTTATTGTTTTATATTAGCTAGTTTCCAAATCCAAAGTAAATAAAACAGCAAATGCGAAACTAAGAGCATGTTCCCAGGACTTGCATGTGTTCAAAAGTTTTAGTAATTTGGCACTTAGAAACCTCAGTTATCACTGATTACTATTTTCTTTGTTACCACGGATTTAAGATCCCAAGATTGTTCAGAATGGGAATAAGGGACAACTAAAAATACAAATAGCTAATTAATGACAGCAAGCAACCCAGCTGCTTGATGCCTGTCCATAGAGGACAGAATGCTGCCAGCTGACAGGACAACAGTGCTTCGTGACTTTCTTCTGGGTATTTCCAAGGCCACACTGGAAGCATTGCTCCAGTGGGATGCAGACATACTCTGTCAGAATGAAGACATCTAATTATGTGCAAGCCCTTAGGAAAAGTTGAGCTGTCTAAATTCCAGAGGAAAGTCAGACAGCCTCAACTCAAATACGACCTACTTTAGAGACACCAAAGATCAGTGTTTCCATTTTGCCTACCAAAGAGGAGATACAAGCCATGTTGCACCCAAATCCTGACTAAACATCATGTTGCTTAGAAAACACATAGGAAGCAGCCTAATTCTGCACAAATCTCTAAATGGCCTCATCAAACAAGTGGTCATTAATATTTCACAGCACAGAGTTAAGAGTCAGCTCCTAAGAACATGGTAGCAGTCTGAAGGTGAGGTGTATTGAAAGATCTAGACAGTCTGAGGTGACTCTGTGGAAGCAGGCAAGCACTCTTGTGAGAAGAGACCTTCACCTCAGCTGACCTTCCAACAGAACAATCTCTGCTGAGTACTGCAGCAAAACAGTGTCAGAAGGGAACAAAGAACAAACACAGTTATTTTGGGTCTGCTCCTGGAAATAAACAAGACCAGTGCAGGGAAAGGAAGAGCACTGCATATAAGAATGTGCTGTTGAAATGAAGGTCAATGGGAGTTTGACCACGGATTATGTATCAGCAGTGCTGAACATGGTAAAAATCCCATGCGATGCTTCTGAGGGAAGTACACACTGCTTTTCTTCCTCAGAGCTTGACAGCTTTATTTCCACTTCCCACCTTGTGTCCAGGTACACCCCATGAGCTCTTACCTCCATATTCTTACAGAACGTAGCATTGGTCCCAAACAGTATCTGGCACTGTTCATCAGCACTGTAGTGCATTCCTGGCAGCTTGTGAGGGAGCCGCACTGCGTACCGGCTGCGGGGGTCTGTCACCAGCAGGCAGGTGCTCACCTTGGACCTGTGGAGTGTAAGAATTGAATATGCCTTTAAGGGAAACTTAAACTCAGAGCTGGAATGTTAGATCACTGCTAGAGAGAAACTGATATCCTCTCTTCAAGAGGGAATCTGACAACCTTATGTAAAACAGTGGTGATTTTTCCCAGTGTGTATCTGGAAGCCTTCTGTATCATTAAAAATTATGGACAGAAAGGTCCTTGGGAACTCATCCCTGGCCCCAGGCCTCAAGCAGAACTGACTATTTTCACATCTTTTGAACTAACTGTTTGTCTAAACTGTTCCTAAAATCTGACGGAGACTCAATTCTGCCTTCAGGGTACCTAGTCCAAAGCATCATGAGACTTACAATGACAGCTAGAAAGTCTTCTATCATGTCTCAGCTGAATCCTTCTAGCTGAATTTTAAGCCCTTAGTTTCTTATCCATCACTGATATAAAGGAGAGATTTTTCCCTTTGCCTTCACAACAATCTTTTATAAATTGGAATATCACTTTGTCATCTCTCCTTTTATCAGGGACCAGAGCAATTTGAAATGCAATTTCTTTTTCAACTTCATGCTTTTAATCTAATATTAGATATCTAATTTTCTTTCATTATTTTCCTTTCTCCCCCACCTCTAACCCCCAGAGTGGGGAATTTTTCCATGCTAAACCTGCTCCTAGCAACAAAAGCATTGGCCACTGTGATAGACACTGTTTGTCAGAAAGCTGCACTGTAGGTTTAAGACCGCAATTACAGAGTTCAGACAATTCCAGTGCTTGCTATAGTACATGAGAGTTAACAAGCAACAGGGTAGAAATCCTTCCTGCACTATTGAATCAGATGAACTGAAATATGGATGCAGGGGGAAAGAAGTTTATAGTCAACTGTTTAAGACCAACAATCACCAAGGAGTGAGAAAACACATCAGAATTACCTCCAGGCAAAGTAAAGTTCCCATAAAATAAAAGCTATTTAATAATAGGAATGACAGTAAAAGCCACAGCTCAAAGCTGGCAGCATCCTTCAGCAGAGATTTTTCCAGGCCACCTACATACAGATTTCTGTCACTGTAAAGATGAAGCGCATTTTTTGTAAAATTAAGGTGATTTGGGTTGGTTTTAATATTTTTATCAGTACATTGACAATTGCACATGACTATTGTGCCTCTCTGCCAACCTTAGATTCAAAGGGGCTACGGTAATGGAGACAGATTCAAACTTGCACTCCCTCATGTCACAAACACACACTTTTTTTTAAAGGAAAATTGTTTAGACTTTTACTTTCAAATAATACATTGGAATCTTTTCTCAGAGGAATTTGGGTAATCAGCACATTCCTTACTTTAGGAAGTTTTCGAGGTCATCGCGGCTGCATGAAGACCAGGAAAGATCACTTGGGTTCCTGCCCTTCACCCATTCTCCAGACATAATGTGGGACCTCCCTGCGCAGGGCTGATGATCATCATCATGGCTCATTCCCATGCTGTTTGATTAAAACAAAACAAGACAAAAAAACCCCTATCAAGTTATGATGTGGGTTTCTCATTTCCAACCGGATTTAGTAATGACACTCTTCATTAAGTCAAAATCAGGCTGCACATACAACACAGAATCATTCACCTACTGCTCTGGGAACCCATTGCATGAATAAACCATGGGTTCCTTTACATTATCCATTTTCTTAATTTCACAAAATTTTTAGTATTTGTGCGTCTGAAACTTTTAAATGTGCTTCTTATGGACTTTCCTACCAGGAAATGTAACTACCTGTGGGCTCATGAGAAAGGAACCTGAAGAAGTGATGTGGCACAGCCAAGGGATATCTGCTAGAAAAGCAGTTACTACTTACTGAACATTTTGGATTGCTTTCCCAAACCTAAGGGATATGGTCTCTATAATCGGACTGAGAGAATGGTCAGTGAATTAGCATTAGAAAGTATTAGAGAAATTCATATTTGTTGTTGTGTCAGGGTGGATTTGCAAAAACTACTGTCAGGAAAAGCACTTCTCTAAATGTGTAGTATTGTAGTCTCTCTCTCTCATCTAACTTCGAAGTTAAATGAGAACTTGAGCCTTCTTTGAGCAGTGGGTTGGATCAGATGACCTCCAGTGGCCCTTCCAACCCAAATTAGTCTATGAATCTATAATAGCAATGCTCAGATAGGAGCCTTAGGCAGAATCAAGCCTGCATTTCTGCCAGCACTGCCCAAACAAGCACCAAGATTGCCGCATGCCGGTCTCAGCAAAACAAACCATCTAAACAAACAGCAGAGTGTGTAGTATAGACATACAAGGAGGAATTCAAACACATTCAGTGAGGATTTCAAAAAGTATTCAGACATAGAAAAGTATTACTTTAACCTCCATCCAACTCCCGCTCAGGACCCTTCCATCATTAGTGGAGCCTCTACCCTTTGACTTCTACAGTAAATCACCGCCCAGAATAAATCTCTGTTGCCACTGATGGTAGTTGAGACTCTTCTGCTGGAGGTAAGCCTTTGTGGACAACGTTCATGGTGGCAAAGAAAGGATAAATGCTGTGATCAAGTTCACCTGCTACACCAGTTATGTGTCAGAAGTATTGACTGGCGGTCCTACACTCAGCCATACTGTGCTGCCCAGCAGCAAAAGTGAGTTAAAGGGTTTCCATCCTACTTGGAAATGATCATTAAAGCCATTTTTTACGATCATACAGAGGAACATCATTTTGAAAGGTTGACATTCTTCCTTTGATTCCAACAAGGAATGGGAAATGGCTTTCAGACAAAAGATGCCAGGGTCCCTTTCTAGCAAAATAACAGCCACCAATCTGGGGCTGAAAACACATTAATAAGAGTTCAGTAGATTTCCAGCTGGCTGGACTGAGCAAGCCAGGAGCAGTCCCTTTAAATCTGATGTTGGACTCTTTAATCCATGCTATTTCTCTACAAATCAGAAGGTCCTGTTTGCCTTCAGACTATGCTCTTGGCTTTGCTTCTCTCCAGTTGCAGGACTCAACTGTTCAAAGCCTAAACACCACATACATTTCTAGTTGCAATGAACCAAAATCAGCTTCAGCAGTTTGATAATTATGGCTTAGATTAAACCACCATCTAAGCTATTTTTAGCTTAAAGTGAAGATTACATGGTGGAGTCTATTATTTTAGGTTTATCTCCAGGGACACTATTATTTCTAGCAAAACTACATTTAACATAATTTTCAGACTCAGAAGTTCATAGTTACTCCTGGTTTTAAACCGTTGTAGGTTTCGAACACAGCAGAAACATTAACATCAAGCACATTTTGTTTGATGCACACAGTAATAATTTAACAGTCTATTAGTAACTCTAACTTCAAAACAGTACAGAGAGAAATTCCTGCTCCACTGAAGTGAATGGGAGTTTTGCCATTGACTTCAATGGAGCCTGGATTTCACTCCAAATATTTTACCCATGTTGTTCCTACACACAGAGACAACTCTTCACATGCTAGGAAGAAAGTTCCAGCAGTATTCCTCCAATGCAAATAAGCCCTTGTATTCCTAAAAGTCAGGAAAGGAAGATCTGAGCACCACGAAGCAAGGTATGGAAGCTTGCTGGAAATCTTGCAGAGGAAAGTTTGCCCAAAAATGCCAGTTGAGAAGGTTTGTGGGCATGCAGCAATCGTGTTAACTCCCCTAATGGAAAAGGGGCAGGTTTCCAAGGTTTCTTTTAGCTTGTCTGCCTCGCAGCTGCCAAAGCACTGAGACTCAAAATTGGGTCCTTCGGTTTTCTACTCGTCAGGGCTTGTGTGGGATGGGACTTGGTAGCCCTTCCGTTGTGGCAGCTTCCTGAACTGCCTCCTGGTCTGCACCTCAGCTGTCCCACTTGAAAAGGGTGAAAATTAACCATTTTCCTGACTTCCCAAGTGTTTTAGCCTCCCTGATTTTATCTCTTCCGCAAAAGACTAACGTTTGGTCTAGAGCTGTTAATTAAGGAATGCCTCGGCTTTCTGATTAACTTCATTCATACCTTGTTAAATTTGTTGAAAGGGGGATTTTTTTGTTGGCAAACAATGCAGGCAATAGTTACATTCCTGCCCTTAACTTCATTTCCAACCTGACCTCATGAAAGATGACTGCCTAGGACAAATGCTGAAGCTAACACTGATTACTCAGCTCTGATTTTGCAGGGGTGTTTGAGGCTGACAGAATGTATTCTTTATAAAGACTGGGTCAGATTTCATATCTCAGAGTTATTTACAGGCTTCTCTGAAATTGGTTCAATTCTTACAGGTGTGGCAATCAACACCTTTCTGAGTCATTCCTGATTCTTAGCAGAAATTCAAAAGTCATAAGCATAAAGGAATTGAGCCTGAGCTATTGATATAAAGCAAAGGAGCTCTGCTAAGTCCAAAGAACCATGCCAGTTTATATTAACTTGGGATCTGGCCTCAAGGTACACAGGCAACCTCTACTGGCCTCTCTGTGATGAGTTCCTGGTAGAATGAAACCAGCAACACCTTTGGAGCCTGTTTTAATTGGCAGTGCAGAACTTCTCCCAGCATCTACTTTACCTCACAATGACTCACTTGAGGAAAGGATTAAATGACCTGCAGGACTAAGGCATACCCCTAGCACGCTAACACATTCTTTTCTGAAGTTCAAGGGTCTCCAGCTACATCAAAGGGATCAGTTTTTTGAAAACACATAGTAAATGTAATGCCATGCTGATTCTTTTCACTAATGAATAGTCCCCTTCCTTTTAACAGAAACTAATCGGACAGAGCATTATGTGCTTGTAATAAACAGCAGTGCAAGGACTGATTCAGTACTCTGCATTTTTTTTGTGATCATCTAATTTTACCTGCTATTCAGAAGCTCACATGGAATTACAAGCAGATAATCAGTCTCTTGAAATATTCTGCCTTGGGAAGTTCTATTTTTACATGTGAGGTCTTGACAAAAAAGCTGATGAGAATGGCTCTTAGATCAGAAGTAGGAAAGTCAAAATGACATTACATCGCCCTGCAAACCCACTGCCCTCTGTGTCTTTTGAGTCATAACTGTCCCTTTTAGCAGACACAACAAAAACACGCTGCATGTTATCCTTCACACTGCAAAGCCAGCAGAGCCAGTACAGATGGGCACAGTCACTAGCTCCTCAGGGTAAATTTCAGCCTTCAGTTCATCACATACTCTTTCTGAAGACAATGAGATTCCACAAAGGCAAGCAAGAACAGTGTAGACTGTCAGTACTTCAACTCCTTTCACTCTATGTTTATTCAGAGTAAGAACAATGGGACTCAAGTTTCACACTCCAGCTTCTTTCCTAGTATAAATAATGCATTGGTTATCAGTCAAAGACTAAGGCATCACCGAAGGAGTCCTATAGTATGTTTATTGATTAATTGTTGTTCATCATATGTGAGTCCAGAAACAAGCCGACTGACCAGTTTGAGTTCTGACCGTTAACACAACCACAGCAAGGCAAATTTTATCAGGAGTCAGAGGGAGGCAGCAACAACAAATCTCTTTGATGCTGCTTTCTGTAAAATGATGCTTTCAAGTAGCATTGCTATGAATCAAAACTAGCATGCAGGCTCTCAAAGCTCTGGCCTCTCTGAAGTCTGTGCTTTTTTTCCAGGACACTAGTCTCTGTCAGAGGCCATGCAGCAATCAGAACTGGGTCAGGATGCCAGAATTACACTCTGGGCCTGAGCTGGCCAATTTCTTGTATAACCCTTCTAGCTTAATGCAATTAACAGCCATTTGCTCTCCCACAGCAATGCTAAATAAATGCACTTGCTTTGTTCACTTCAGTCATTAGTGGAGCTTCTCCTCTAGACAGTTAATGTAACCAAGCTGCTCTGTTTACCCTTGGTGCATCTTCCAATGTTTCCTGTTATTCTTTCAAAGCCTGAGCCAAAGCTCACCAAAGCCTGTGGAAAGCCTCCTACCTCCGTGGATGCACTGCATGCTGCACCTCCGAGTTCTTAAGGTCATGTATACAAATATTCATCAGAACCACGATGACTCTCAATAGGTTTCCTATTAAAAGCCCCAAATCCCAGTTAAAGGATAACACCAAAGAGCTGGGGGAAACTGGTTTAGGAGATGCTTTGAATGTTTTCAACAGCTGTAGCTCCGTGGCTGTAACAAACCACTAGAGAAATCCCCAAGATTATTATCATTTACCCCAAGTATTGTGAAGCTGGGGCAAGAGCAAGTTTGATAGAAAATACTTTCAGCAGAAGAGCTTTTCTTCAGATAAAGGCAGAAAGACGGTAACGAGAGAGAATTATAAAGCAAGCTTGAAAAACACACACAAAAGTGGAAATACCATGAACTTCTACAGTCTCTCTGCTTCAAATAAGCACTTTAGCTGGCTGTTAATGGGACCTTCTCTATAGTCTGCCTGTGAAAGCCAGACTTTAAAAAGGAGGAGCTTCTTGGGGCCACTTGCCCTGCAGACCAACATGGGCTCAAAGAATTGAGCAAGGGGCCTGCTACAGCAGTGTCCTAA